CAATGCTCAGTTACAAGCTTGGAAGCATTACTTATCTCAAACCTAGCCAAAACTCTAACCCGCGATGCCCTTGCCTCTCGAGTCGGTCTCCAACTGCTCCAAATCTAACCAAAATTAGTATATTATCATCAATATAAGCTAAAAGAATGAAACCCACACGAAAATTATCAAATTAGACAAAAATCTCGAATTTGGCTCAAACTCGGGCCCCGGGCCCATATCTCGAAATCTGATAAAAATCACAAAACTTGAAAGCTCATTCACTCACGAGTCTACTTATATCAAATTCACCAAAATCCGACATCAAATGGTCATTCAAATCCCCAAAGTTAACTCTCCAATTCTCTTCCACTTTTTCCCCAATTTTCACCCCAAATTCTCAATTTAGATGATAAAAATCAAGACACAATAATGGAATTTAACCAAAAACAAGTAAAGAACATACGCGATCGCGACCTCACCTCTGCTATCGCACAAAACAACTCCACCTCTGTCCCAATTAGTCCTAAGTGATTGCGACCTCCTTTTCGCGATCGCGAAGAACAACTCTTCTATAACAGAACACCAGTAAAATCTGCCAACTTTTCAAGTCCAAATATGACCCGTTGAGCATCCGAAACACACCCGAGGCCTTTAGTACCTCAACCAAAGATGCCAAAACATGCCATAACGTCATTCAAACTTAGTCAAATTTTCGAATCACTCCAAACAATATTAAAACACCAAATCAACCTCGGATTCAAGCCTAAGAACTTATAAACTTTTAAATTCCGCAAACGATGTCGAAACCTATCAAACCTCGTCCGAATGACCTGAAACTTTGCACACACGTCACAAATGACACTACGAACCTACTCTAATTTCCAGAACTTCATTCCGAGCCCAGTATCAAAATTTCCACGTCCGATCGAAAAATGCCTCATTTCTAATTTTGCCAATTCAAGCATAAATCTATCGCGGACCTCCAAATCACATTCCGGAAGCGCTCCCAAGTCCAAAATAACCTAATGGAGCTAACCAAATCATAAAAATCCAAATCTTATATCGAATGCTAAAAAGTCAAAACTTGATCAAACCTTTCAACTTTAAAGCTTCAAGCTGAGAATCACTCTTCCATATCTATTCCGATTAACCTGAAAATCAAAATCGATGATTTACATAAGTCATAATACATCATGCGGAGCTACTCATGCCCGAGAATTGACAAGAAAAGTGCAAATGCTCAAAACAACCAGTCGGATCATTACAATCACCCACCTTAGAATCAAGCAATTCAGTTCGACTATACCCACCTTAATTCCGTCATTCAGGACAGATGGAAGCAGGTTATGGATCTGTTCAAGTTGGTCGATAAATCCCTCCTTTTTTCCCCTGCCTCCGGACACCTTAAAATAGAATTGATTGGAAGGAGGGTGAGGAACGAAGACAGTGGTTTGACTGCTGGGATCCCAATCGGCCTGTATAAGCGAAAAATGGAACTATCGAATCACAGGTGACTCGCTTTATCGGGATGGAAAGAATTGCAACATCCGCATTTCTTTTCTTCCCTAAATCGATCCACTAGTAGGTAGCGGTAGGAGAGATCCATTACGGTGGGATGGACCGTTCTTGAATTTCAGTTGGCATTTCTGTCAAATGGCGGAAGACTCACACATACTGAGAGGGCACGACTTCAAGGGATGAACTCAATCGAACGGCCAACCACTTGCTATTTTTGCAGGAGATGAAATCCAAATAACCATTATTAGCGTGTAGTAGATTGGCCCGAGTGCATAATAGGCCAGTCGAGAAGGAATTAAATCAATAGATTGAACGGTAGATAAAGGATCATATTAGGTAGATCTACCCAATATATATATATAGAGAGAGAGAGAGAGTTATACAGTGTATTAAATATTTTAACTACATATATATAGAGTTGTACATATACGATAATTTGTATTGTAGTTTTGTATAATGTATTAAATATTTCATATAAACATATATAGAACTGTACATATACGATAATTTGTATTGTAGTTTTGTATAAAAAGTTGTATATATATTACTATGATACGTATAAAAGTTGTATATACATGGTATCCTATGTTTGGAAATGCACTTTGTGTATATTGAGTGTATTCCGAACGTGCTTGTATATCCAAAGCATATATTGAATTTTCTTATACATGGTTTATATATATACACGATTGATACATATTATGCAATTATATTTTTGTATCAAAATTGTATATTAACCGTTTTATATGTATAGATAATATATATTTATAGTTAAACGGTATATAAAAGTTTTATATACAATATTTCCTAAGTTTGACAATGTATTCTTAGTGTATTCCAAGTTGTGGTGTATTTTAAGTGTATAAAAAATATATAGATTGTTCAACTATGTACAAAAATCGTATAGTACGTGTACAACCTATACATCACCTTGTTCTTCTTCTTATATCATGGGTATTTTTGCTTATGTAATCTTATATTTTTCTACCTTGGATCACTAAAAAAATAAAAATTCTTTGTAAAAGTTAAAATGTGGATTATAATTTATGTATACTAGAAAAAAGTTTGATGGAATTTTGGGGCTGAAAGGATAGTTTTATACGGGGATTTCACTAGGTATGAATGATTTGGGGTGATTTGGCAAGATTTTAAATTTTTTCACTACTAACATTAAGTTTAAAAGAATGTTAGGCTAGAGGTTGAGCTAGCAACTATTATGGTTGCATTGAGGAGGCAGGGTCTCTCGCTGGTTTTCTAGGTTTCACTTACTAAACCTTATAATTAGTTTTGGGCTATGAATTGTCTGCCTTGTTTTGTGACTATCCGTTGTCATTAGTGTTCATCGAGTGGCTACAAATGAATTTCTCTCGTGAGAATACTTTGGGAATAAGACCACTACACAAAGCAAGCAGGTTCATTTATCATAGGGAAAAGTACATAAATAGCCAATTGAACACAAACTTACCAACCTCTAGCCCAAAATTAAACACTTACCAAAAGTAGGCCAAAATTTAGAGATACACACAAGGGCACGCATCGGAGAATCACGCTTCCAACAATCACGCATCCGAGAATCGCGTTTCCTTCCCTTTTTCAAACTATCAATTTACCAGATAACGACATTCTCTCCCTCTGTAAATCATAGCATTCTCTCCCAAAAATTCTCCAATGGATCCAAATGAGCTCCAAATTTCACTCAAAATCGATCAATTTCACTATATACCTTCGCAATTTCTTTGTAGATACAGCTTTTGCAATATCTGTGTAGAAGGAACTACAAACTGCAATCAAAATCCATCAAGGAATTATTGAGTTTTGACCTAATTTCAGCTACTCCAATGGTAAATTTACCAATTTTTATTCAGTGTGGTGGCCGATGGAATGTTGACAACAACTTTGTAGATTATAATGCAGACGCTGTAATAGTTACTCCAAATATAAGTTTTGAAGATTTTGTAGACGTGATTTCGAAACAACTTATGATAGATACTTCATTGAATGCTATTGAAATCAAATACACTGTCCAAGATGGTTCTCCACCAATAGTGATGCACAATAGTATGGGTGTATGTGTATATCTTGAGCTGAAAAAAGCTCAGAATTTAAAATGTATCCCTTTTGTATAACATCGAGTGAAAAGGATATGGACATGATCTGCTACAATTCTAATTCTGCTGTGATTTCCTCAGAATGTGCACAAAGCTCATTTGTAGAGGAAAGATACAACGGTGATACAATTAAGATGATCGAGTTTGGGGATGGAGAAGACTGGAATGATACAGAATCTGATAAAAATACAATAATTACTGACCCTCAATACATAGATGTAGAAGAAGGTCATATTTATAAAGACAAGGCAACGATAGTCAAAGTCATAAAGCACTTGGCAGTAAAGGAAAATTTTCAGTTTAAGGTGCATAGATCAAGTGAAAGCAGGTATCAAAATATTTATTATATAATTATGTATCTCAATGTATATCGTAGTTGATGTTAGAAGTATAATTGTGCAGAAAATAGGTTGTTGCTTGTAAGTATGTGGCTGTACACTTTTAAGTTGTGATTGTCACCGTCTAACATTGTATAGTCATTGTATTTTTCATCTAGTATTGTTGATGGCAGTGTGTATCACTATATATCATTATATTTCATGTCGCTCTATTTATTGATGGAAAAGTTTATATCCTTGTCGTAGGTACTACCTAGTATGCATCAACAATAACTGTGATTGGTATTTTAAGTCTTCGAGCTTGAAAAAAGCAAACGTTTTCAAGGTTAGAAATTTCAGCAAAGTGCACTCATGCCCCCTGAAAGACAGATCTTATGCACAACGTCAAGCTACTGCAAAACTCATCGACAGTCTTCTGATAGACAAGTATAAAGACCTAAAAACAATATACACTCCTAATGACATAATTGGAGACATGAACAAGCAGTATGGTCTTCAAATGACATATATGCAAGCATGGAGTCGAAAGAATATGCAGTTCAAGTACTGAGAGGAAACCCGAGCGAATCATATGAAAAGCTGCCAAGCTACTTTTATATGTTGGTTCTTACAAATCCTATGACGGTGGTAAGTTTGAAAAAAACAGAGGAAGATTTGTTCAGGTATGCTTTCGTTGCACTATATCCGTCTATAAAAAGATGGAAGTATTGCAAAACAGTTGTTGTTGTAGATGGAACCTTTCTTTAATCGGTATATACAGGAACATTATTGATAGCATCAACACAAGATCCAGCAGGTAATATCATACCACTCGCATATGCCATAGTAGATTCAGGGAATAATGCTTCCTGGGAGTGGATTTTTGCGAGATTCAAGGATGTCTTTGGGGAAAGGGAGGGAATGTGCATAGTCTCGGATAGGCATGAAGGCATTGAAAATGCAGTGGCAACATTGTATCCACAAGTACCTCATTGTGTCTACATATGGCATCTATGGAATAATGTAAAAAAAATTACAAAAAAAATATTTGCTGCTCAAAGACATATTCTTTGCTATGGCCAAAGCATACACAGTTGAGAAGTTTGATTACCACACGACAGAGGTAGAGAAAATTGATAAGAGGGTCAACGATTACTTAATGAATGTTGGGTATGAAAGATGGTCCAGAGCACATTCCACTGTCAACAGAACATTGACGATGACTTCAAACATTGCGGGGTCAATCAATGCAGTGCACAAGGCTGCTAGGGCACTCCCAGTACTACCTTTGCTAGACTACATAAGGCAATTGATCGGACGATGGAATGTTACAAACCTAAAGAATATAGTAGATTCATTCACTTATCTTGGAAAAAAATATGATACAATGCTGATGGACAATCTTGAATTGTCACATCAGATGAAGGTATGATTGGAATCTATAGATACTTGTGCATAGAATATGTAATCATGCCGAATTTACGGATCTGTTATATATTGAACCTTTGTGTGATTCTGTTAAACTAGTGTCCACCTGCACAAAAGCAAAGGTTTTCAATTTAATGTAGCATTTATGCCTACCCACTACTGAAATATTGGTTGGTTTGAGATGATATTAAGCTATTTTGAATCTTGTAGGCTTTCTAGTATATGTATTTTGAGGGCATGTACTTTGTCACCACTAATGATAGTTGATAAATTTTGTAGGTGACCCCTTCGACGAGTTACTTATATTCAGTACTTGACAAAGTTAAGCAGAGAATGGTAATCCTAAAAGATTGAACTTGTAGCTGTAGAAGGTTTTAGTTGGATGAGTTGCTATGTGCGCATGCTTGGACAGTATTAAAATACAAATACATTGATCACATTGAGTATTTCTTGGTGTACTACACCAGGAAGTACCTACTGAACACCTATGAAATTTCAATTTATCCGATTCCTGATAAAAGCACATGGAAAATTCCTACAGAAGTTCTAAATGAAAAAGTCTTAACACCAGATGTGACTAAAACAATAGGAAGGCCAAGGAAGGGGAGGTGCAAGCCAATATCTGAAAGGGAACAAAAAAGGTCGATTTTATGTGGACAATGTGGAGAAGAAGGTCACAACAGGAAAACTTGTAGAAATAATCCAAAGAGAGGATGAAATATCAAATTTAGAATTACTTGTTATTTTACTTTACTGAATATCATAGAGATTTAGAAGAATGCAATATATCAAGAAATATATCATTGTAGAATGTCATTTGAATTTTAGATATAAATAAATATTTGACCTATCATTTAAAATCGTGTTGAAAGTGTATATTATACATCTGTTTGATTAAAAAGAAATTGTATCAGATATAAATCATATTTGTATCATATATGTATCTCTTGTGTATCACATTTGTATCATCTATGTATCGCTTGTGTATCACCTATGTATCTCTGTGTATAGGCTCTTACTCATGTCTGTATTTTGTAGTAACAAAGCTAACTAATGGAAAAAAGTCGTAGCAGCTAGAAAACTATGCAAATAGTTTTAGAAATTTGCAAATAAGAGTGGCTTCATCAATACATATTTGAAATATGTGTATCATATGTGTATCATATTTGTATCATATCTATATCATATGTGTATCATTCGTGTATCTGCAAGAGACAATGTATCAAAACTAGGGTATATTTTTCATATCTTTAATTCACAACACAAAATCAAGGGTGAAAACACCAAAATAAACTAAACTGCAACACTCCAATATCGTACTGAAACTTATTAAACCTTTATAACATAGCAAACATATCATTTTACATACAATTCTTAAAAGTATTCATAAAATTCAAACACAAACAAATCTTATCCATCTTACAACAATGACAACATAATAGAACACAATACAAAACGAAATTATAGAGTTCATCCTACAACAATGATAGAAGTAACTACTTCTTCTGCTTTTTTGACTTCTTCTGTCGACCAATAATCACATCATCATTTTGCACGTTCAGTTCCATCTTCTTTCTAGCATAATCCCACAAGAGAGCACCAAATCTACGTCGGTGTGCATAGGCATTGAATTTTTTAGGAGGCGTCTTGCCTCAATGAAATACTCGGCAAATGATGTTGCAAATACACCGCAATCACTGCAAAAATAAAAAGAACAACAACTATCAAAATGCTGAATCTAAAAAAAAGACAAATTATTTTGAAAGAAATTCATACGCTTCAACTTGTTGAGGCAATCCTTCAACCAATTTTACATCAAAGGGGATAATCAAGTCTTTTGTTTTGTAGACACCAGTGCGTCAATTGATATCTTTTTTGTTTAAATAGAAATGCGTGTGCACGAAAAAAATGAGGCAGCAACACAGAATACTTGGCCATGGTCTTATGTACTTTGGCTTGATGAGCAGCTCCACCATGCATAGAGTCATATACATAAATGCACCTATCCTTGAAGGACATCATAGCCATTATCCAATGCCATTATTCTGAAACATTTATTGGCATTAAGACATGCTCGACAGGGTGCAATGAAAAACTGGCATCCAAGACAAACCCCTGAATATACTCTGCAATGACATATTTCGGATTGCACACATCATTGTCTCCATCTGTATCAATAAACGCCTGCCACAACTCATTAAGTTTCTGGTCAAATTACCAATCTGTGGTGGTGAATGTTACAGGTAGGTGTTTGTCATATTTCCTCTTCTTCCACAGATAATAACAAAACATCAATATGCTAAAATAAAACATAACAAATAACTAACCACTAAAGGCTCGTAAGCTTTAAGCAGCTATGATTTTTCAAACCAAAATCACAGAAAACAAAGGAAAATTAATGCTCACTGCTATCTCTTGTTCCAGGCAATAGCAATTAATAATCTGTTATAACTTAAGAGGACTGAGTGTTCATGTGTACAGTGGCTAAAAATTTTAAAAAAAATACTGCAAAACTAAATTCTTATATACCGAGTCATCCAAAGGCTGACCATTATATGCCAAAGTGTAAAATTATTTTTTGTCTTCAACATGAAATACACCAAGATCATAAGCAGGATTGAGTTCACTAACATGCTTTGGGTAAATTTCATTCCTGGTAACATAAATACACAAAAGAGTACAGTGATTTGATATAAAATAATGCTTTAAGTGACAATATATTAAAATATAAAACTGAAAAAAACTTAGAAGTTGGAAACATACTTCTTTCTGGACTTCCCTTCTTTGACCCACGCAGCAAATACATTCAATAAAAGTTGTTAACACCAGTTCCGATTTTGCTTTGAAAAGGACGCTTAATAGCATAAATTTGCTTTTTTCCTTTCGCTGCAACAACACCAGTACTGGAACCTGAATCAAATATAGTAATGAACGGAGACTGCACGGCCTTTGCAGGACATCTCTTTCTTTTTTCCATTTACGGCGATACTTCAGGAAGTAATTCAGGATTGTATAGAATCATCTCGCCTGCCACCTCATCGACACTTGCAGTCGCACAAACAACACCAGTCCGAGATTCATGAACCTTTTGTTTCTCAGATTCTTCCTCTGTCTCCCCTGTCGCCGCATCAACACTTGCAGTCGCACAAACAACACCAGTTTGAGATTCCGGAACTTTTTATTTCTCAAATTCTTCCTTCTTCTCCCATGTCGCTGCATCTGCAATCTTACCAATACCGCTAGCATGTGATACATCTGGTGTGAAAGTTACTTTAGCAACAAACATGTCAACTTTCACACCTGAAGGTCCTTCTATAGTATTGACACCTAATTGATCTGTTGCACCGAGCATAATGTTGTTACGATGATACTCACTAGTATCTCTTTGAGAATGTGGAACATCTTTACCTTCACTTTCACCGACCTATTTTTTAAAAAAAGAATCAAATTATCAAAAACAACAAAGAAAAGAAAAGGAAAAAGTGCAGAATGCACAACTAAACACACCTTACAACCATCCATTTCAATATCTCCATTGCCACCAAACTCTATATTGCTCACAAAATCTTTATTGTCTTGACGACCACTAATGTCTTCCTCCGGATGTGCACCATATTTAAAAAAAGGATACATTAAGTTAACTAAAAAATAAAAAGAAATGCACAATGGAAAACAGACAAATACCTTGAAATTTTTCAATACAAAGACTTCCTTGAATATATCAGAAACATATTCTATGAAGGAATTTAACTGCTTATAGAGCTACAAGATGAAACAAATAAGAAAGACAATAGACTTTGAATATACAATTTGAAAATACTTTCAAAAAAATATATAAAAAAGACCAATACAAACCTGCTTCACATCAGTTTTCAACTTCTGCAACTCACGGTCATAATCAACAGGTTGCACATCTGGCGCCTTTTTTGGTGGGACAGGCTCCTTAATCTGTTTTGGGGGTGGCATGACAAAATCATCGCTACCATCAATAGGAAATTTTCCCATGTTATGTGATGTAAAATATTTTTGATACTCATCGGTAACTTTAACAGGCAAAGTAAATCTTATTAGCTCTTCAATTGTCGGAGAAATATTTTTAAACTACAAAGGTAACCAAAAGTGCTTCAGTCCTAGATGTATCAAAGATGTATAAAAACTGTATGTTTGATGTATCACAATGAATTACAGTGTATTATAAATGTATATCCCATCAAGACATAAAAGATGGTACCTTATTCCCTGTGCTGTTGAAGAAACCAATAGAGAAGTCCTCATGCATTGGCCTATCTGTCATTTCCCAATTCAATATGTGTGGTGTATAATATCCAACGCGAACAACAAACTTTTGATCAACTACGGTGCAATATTCATAGAACCACACTTGTAGTGCAAGAGGAAATCCACCAATCCTATAAAACTCAGACTTTCCCCTCAACCTTTCCCTCACCGACTTTATTAAAGCTCGAAATGCAATCTTACCCCATGAAAATGACACCACTCTCGACAAGATAGAAGTCACGTTTACTTATAAATGTCTTCTGAGCCTGAGTGGACATTAGAAATGTGTTTATGAAATAAATGATTGTAATTTTAACTGCGTCTTCATCAGACTGCCATTTCTTCTTCTCAAAATAATCAATTAGTTACTTATTTGACACCACTTCAAAACCAGAAAAATAAGTATCCACCAACTTATTGGGTCCACTGAATTTACCCTCAACATGTTCATTACCACAACAGTTTAAACCAGTTACAATACCAAATTCTCAAAGACCAAAACGTAAAACACATTCGTCATTCAATTTCACATAAAATTAATCACACTTATCTTGAACCAACTCCCTAATTATTAAAGAACGAATAAGTTGTGCCTGGATAGCAACTCGAGGTAAATCAAGGAAATAACCAAAACAACTTTCCCTAAACATCCGAAGATGGACATCAGTCAACTTTGACTGTAAAACCAATATAATATCCACATTAGTGTATGATTACCAATGAGTAACAGGAAACGGCTCACCAACTGGAATATAGAGCTTCCAAGGCTACAAATAGATGACACGAATTAAAAACAAACAAATACAAATTAAATCCAAATTTTAAAAGAAGAGTCAACAATAGAAAAAATTTTAACTAAAATTGTATATACCTTACAAACTTTGTCAGTTATTTTAACTTTTTCTGCCTTCTCAACCTTACTTTTTTTTGGTTTGACACCCAAATTCACTTCGTCCTCCACGACACGTTTTCTCTTGCCTTGATCAACATCCATTATAATCCTCTTGCTCTTCTTTTTGTCAAATTGTCCAACAATATCCTTTTGAGATTCTAACACTTTAACCCTGTCGGAATGA